TGTCTATCCACTCACTGATTTCATTCATCCAGTCATCTGCTCAGTGAGGCTTGTGAAGCCTCCTCTGTGTCTGGATGCTTTGAAAAAATCAAAAGCAGGGGTTCACACACTTAACCTAGCCAGTGTAACATGCACACGGACACATCTACTAAAGACAGGCCAGGCAGCTATGCTGGAGTCCAGAGGAGGCAGCAATCACTGCACATCTACAAAAGCTTTTCAAGAATGTGAGTGTGAAGGGGAAGGAGGTGAAATGCTGCCAAGGACCTGCCTTTCAGGTTGGTTGGGTATGTGCAGGCTCCTTGGAGATCTGCCTTTTGGGTTTTCTGTTCTCCTTGGTCCTTTGTAAAGCTATGGCTCCTCTCATCCTGTTCCCACAGAGCTGCCTCTGAGGGTTACCTAGAGGGTCTCCTGTCACTCACTGTGATGGTTTGAATGAGAATGTCCCCCATAAGCTCCAAGTAGTTCCTCAGTTGGTGGCACTGTTTTGGGAGGTCTTAGAAGGTGTGGCTATGCTGGAGGAAGGACGTCACTGGGGGCAGCTTAGAGAGTTCTTAAGCCTTGCCTGATCTCGAGTTGCTCTCTTGCTTCCTGTGCCTGCTTTCTGCCCCAGCCACCTCCTGCCACCATGCCTCACTACCATGATGGACTGTAATTCCCGTGGAACCATATACTCAAACTCTTCCTTCTGTAAGTTGCTTTAGTCAGTGTTTCTATCACAGCAACAGAAAAGTAACTAATACGCTCACCATCAGACTCAAGTTCTTTAGCCAGTTGGGTTCTGCTCAGCTGGGCACTGCCACCCTCTTCCAGCCTCTCTGCCTGCTGCTCCCCTCGCAGCCTTTGCTTTCACCACATCAAACAATGCTGATGTCAGGTCCTCTAACTCTGTGCCTTTGCTCATGGTCCATCTGCCTAGAACACTCTGTCTGCCCTCTCCTTCCTGGACAACACCCCCAGTTGAATCTCTCACTATATGCTCATTGTGCTTCACACATTATCTCAATTACTGAACTCAGCATGAAAGACTGACAAGGGTGGGGACGCCTTCCACTAGGGGTGCTGTGATGCTTCCCTAAGTGGGACTCCCTGGATGGACACCTGGTGAAGGTCTAATGAGCATTTGGTTAAACAAGTGAATGAACAAAGAGACTCTGTTGAAAGGAAGGGGACAGATTTAATTTAAGTTTGAAACATCAAGAGTTCTCATTCACCTAATGTATCAGGCCCATAGGTTGAGAATAGTAAGGGAAAGCAAAATTGATTGGGTAGGTTTTAGGTGTTTTGGCCCTGAGAATTCAATGTTTCAGTACTGATGCCCTCTTCTGGCCTTTGCTGGCACTTACACACATGTGGCATACACACACATAAATAAAAATAAAAAATAAATTTATTTGGCTCACAGTGCTAGAGGCTGAAGAAGTTCAAGCACATGTAATGATGAGGGTCTTCCTGCTGTGTTATAACATGGTGGATGGTGTCACAAGGGGAGACTATAACATGGTGGATGGTGTCACATGAGGAGACGCTAGCTTGGGTCTCTCTTTCTCTTATAAAGCCACTAATACCACAAGAGGAGTCCCACTGTCATGACCTTTCTCACCCCAATTAACCTTCCAAAAGCTCTACTTGAGTCACCATTAATGTGGGGGGAATTGTATTTCTAACACATGGACTTCTGGGAAGCATATTCAAACATAACTAATAATAGTATTAGCTGTGAAAACCCAGCCATTCCTGACCCAAACAGATCTAAACACCTGTTGTTCTTTGTCAAACTGCTCATCATCTTTGACACTTCTGAAGTCTGCTGTGACTTTCTCCTCTTGCCTCTGAAGATTCAGTCACTGTTTCTACCTGACCTTCAACCTCCTCCTGTCCCTACATGTGTACTGCACTTGGCCACCTTATAATCCATGTTCTCTAAATCCGGACACATTTCTCTCGGGAACACACATGGTGCTGTGTAAATATAATTAAATTCTATATGATTTAAAGTATTTTTTTTTTTTTGCCGTAACAGCCACATCATAGACTAGGATCCAAATAATACAAGAATTTTTGGAATAAAATAAGATTTATGAAGATAATGAGAGGGAGCATTTATTGAACATTTACTATTTCCAAGACACTGTATGACATGTGTTTTATGAGTACTTTGCAGACAGCAGGCTGAGGTTCCCCTGCCTTCCTAGGCATGAGAGTTCTAATACTGGGTCCTGTAAGCAGAAAAGTCTGAAATGCTGCATGTCTTTGAGCTCTGCATTTCTGGTGCCCATCAGTCAGCCTGTGAAGAGCTGACCCTCAGAGGTTTATGGAGAGAATGAATGTTTCTGTATCTGCTGTAATATACCCCAAACTCTTACTGGTTGTTCAGTAGTCTATTTAAATGTCCCCTCCACCATGAAATCTGACTCTCAACTATTCCCTTTGGCTCCCACTGCCCCCAGACTCCCTTCAGATCTAGCATCTAGAAACTAGGTTGTTTTTTGGGCCCTCATACAAGGAGTTGGCTAGAGATGAGTCTGATTTCCTCTCACCTAGTACTCTAAATCCAATGTCAAGTATTTTTATAAAAGAAAAAGGACAGGAGTAGAGGAAAAGGCCAGGGAAAGTGAATGGAATTATGTAACCACAAATCAAAGAACTATGAGGGCCACCAGAAGCTAGAAAAGCAAATGGACACCTTGATCTTGGGTTTCTGGCCTCCAGAACTGTGAGAGAGTACGTTTCTATTGTCTTCAACTACCACAGTTGTAGTAATTTGATACAGTGGCCTGGACAAATAAGCATAGCTTAGAAATAGAGATCTGTTTTCTGTGAAATTCCACTGGGTCTTGGCCCTGTATGAGTTGAACTATGTGTGATTCGGAATTTCCCATTGACTCACTTCTCAACAAATACCTGACCACACCTAAACTCCAGCCATGAGGAACTGCTTGGTGTTTCAGAACAGGTGATGGTGACATGCAAGTGCTTCAGCTTGGAGGTCAGCTCCAACATGTTTTCCCAGAAATTATTATACTTACTTTTTACTTAAAACAAAACAAAACAAAACAAAACAGGGGACTAGGGAGGCAGCTCAGTTGATGAAGTGTTTACCATGCAAACATGAGGACCTAAGTTCTATCTCCAGTATCCATATAAAAAAGCTAGGCAGGGGGGTGCATACGTATAATCCTAGTGCTAGGGAGGGAGAGACAGGAAGATCCCTAGGGCTTATTAGCCAGCCAGTCTGCCCTACTTAGTGAGCTCCAGATCAATGAAAGATGCTGTCTCAGAAAACCAGATGGATATCTCCTGAGGAACAACACCTAGGCTTCCACACGTGCGCCACAAACACCTGTACACACTCATCAGTTTTTAAAACAGTGCTAGGGAATTACCCTAAGCATCCACTCTACCACTGAGCTATATATGCCTCTTCCCAACCAGTAAAAGAAGTTTTAAATGCATCTATTATATACCAGGTTCTTCATGGACTCTTTACAGATATTGGTCTACCTAGCACCCACAGGAAAACTAGTACTATTTTATAGATGGGCACACTAGGGCACACTAAAGCTGCAAGTGGGGGCTGAGGGGCTCACAGACATAAGAAGGTGACAGAATTCCCAAACTGTTTTCTGTTGTGTGTGACTCTGAACACTGTGTCCTTTCTGCTACTTCAATCCAGGTGATGAAGAAATTCACACTGTAAAGGGGATGGGATTGATATCCTGCAAATGACTCAGTACTACTTATAGAAGCAATGGCTATACGCTGCTCTTATGATCAAAGAAGTCTTCATAGAAGGGAGGGCATTTGAGCTGAACCTTCATAACATATTCTGTCAGGCAAGGGGGATTCAGAATTGAATCAGACAAGGTCCTTTGCTTGAGGAATCCGTGTGTGTGTGTGTGTGTGTGTGTGTGTGTGTGTGTATTTGGGGTGAGAAAATGGCAGTCTGTGTTACACACCTACTAAAGGACAAATTAGAGGCAGGTGTAGTAGCATACTCATATCCCAGCATTTGGGGGAGACTGAGGCAAACCGGGCTATATGGCCAGTACCAGGTCAGTCAGGGCTATAGAGCAAAAGCATGTCTCAACCCCCCGACTCCCCAACAAAGACAACGTAATAGAATAACCAGGGTTGTGGTAAGCGACAAGGTTTCAAATTCAGAGTCCCAGAGACATCAGGGAAGTCTTCTGGAGGAAAGGACTCCCGCCTCATCTGAAACGTGATGGGTAAGCAAACAATAGTCACAACCAGTAAAGGCTAGGGAGAGTATAAGCAGCCCGCCCGCAGAGGTGAGATAGCCTCCGGGGCAGCTGGCATACTCTGTGGCTCAGCTTACTAGTTAATAGACGCAAGGAGGGGCGTGGACTTGCGGGTTGGACTTGGTCGTGGAAGAGCAGGTGGGACTGCAGGATGGCTCTCTGGTCTCAGTGCCCGCTGCGCGGTGTCTCTCCGTTCAACCATGAAGCATCCCTTTTCTGTCCTTGTAGTGGATGAAAACACCTCGGGAAAACACATCTGGAGGCGCATCAAAGATAAGACTATCAATTTCGACCCAGCTGATGTCAAGAGGGTCCCCGCCCTCCACTGGAGGCTTGTTACCATGGTAACTAGGCTAGGGCGGAAGTGGCTCAGAAGCCTTGCCTCTCACTAATCAGATGACTCTCTAGACTTCTGCACGTGACACCAGATCCCAGGCGCGCGCTCTACCTAATTAAGATACCGCCCCTCTTTCCTTTACCGACAACTGACAGTGAACTAGAGCAATGGCCCTTTCGACTCTATTAGGAGACCCCGCCCCTGAGTAGTGAAAGGACCAATTAGACCGAGACAGAGAGAAGTAACGCCCCAGGTTTCGCCCCAGTTTGACAGACGCAATTGAGGCCAGCCTCGAGTCCCTCCGCTCTTTAGCCCACTGCGGCCGGAGATGGACGGAAGCGCTGCCCAATAGCACGGCCCTCGGCGGCCTTCGGGTCCCGCCCCCTCGGGAGCGGAACCAGTAAGCGCGCCAGCTCCAGACCGGGTGGAGGGGATTGCACTGCGGTAACATGGCTCTACCCTAGTTAGCTGCGGCTGCCAGCGCGGGGACCGAGCGCTCAGGGCTGGCGGTGCCGGGTTTCTAGGCTGCAGGAGCTAGGCGGCTCGCGGCTTAGGGGGCGGCGGCGGATGCGGGAGGACGGCCCGTCCCGCCGCTCGGCGGCCCCGGGGTCGAGATGAACGCCTCGGCGTCGCTCGGGGGCCAGGCGCCTCTGCCACCCCCGGGCCCCGCCGCGCTACCGCCCGGGTCCACCTCACGGGCCCTGCATGTGGAGCTGCCGTCGCAGCAGGTAAGCCGGCCCGCTCGAGGCGCTCGCGGGGATCCGGGGATTCTCGCGTGGAGACCGGCGGGCTCCGGCTGCCCCTGCGCCAGCCGCACAACGCCGAGGAGAGACCGGCCAGCTCCGGAGGGCTGACCCGCGGGCCGGGTGAGGAGAGGCGGCCGGGCCCTCCCTGGAGAATCCCGGGTCCCGGGAGGACCCTGCTGGAGGTGGCCCGCGGGGAGCCAGGGCTTCCGGTGCTTTGACCCCCGCATCCCTCCGGGAAGGCGCCGGGGAATCCCTGCGAGCCCGGCCGCACGTTCCCTTTCGCTCCGCTGTACTGGGCTGCGGGAGCACCGAGGAGTCGGTTTTCTAGCACTCACTTCTCGAGTTAAGAAATACTCCCTTTGCCCTTCCCGAGAAATGTATTTGGGATGTTGGGGTTTCCTTCTCAAGTCTCAGATCAGATCCTCGCGGCGAGCATCTTAGTAACGGGGGGGAGGGCGGGAGGAAGGGGTGGCTCTCAACTTCGTACCCATCCCTTCGGTGTGTCTGGAAGGAGGCAATGAGGCATATATTCATGTATTGGATCCGTACCGTAGGGGGATGAGGACGAGAGAATATTGAATTGAGGGATCTGACCAAATTCTTGGGGACACCTGCCCATCTCTAGAGTACTTCGCTGCCGTTTCTCTACCCATCCCAGGAGACTGCAGGAATCTTAGAGAGTTGATGGACCCTCCACTTGCCCCTTTCCATTGGAGAGGATGGGGAGAAGCTGTTAGTCACTGAGCACTTACCATGCTTGGTTTGTGCAAAGTGCTCAGTGACAGTTTATCGAATCCTCACCACTCCATGAGATAGCTGTATTGATTATCTTCGTTTTGAGTTGAAACAGGCTCGTCCACCGGCTTCCTGTTAGGAAGGTGGTGGGCCTGGGTTTCCAAACCCAGCATCTGTAGCCCGCGCACTGCGTTGTTTGCTTGAGACTTAAGCAACCTCTTAACCTCGTTCCACAGGACAGACAGCAAGTTCCTTCAGACCCTTCCTGTAACTTTCCATCTTTGCCGGGGACACACTAGAATAAAGCAGAGGATAGGAGAGAGAGGGCCAGGCAAGAGAAAAGTTGGAGGAATACCTCCCTCCCTCTTCGCATGGTGGCTGCTGAGTAGAAAGAGAAGCCTTCTGTGGTAGGAGAGGATTTAAAAGATCAGGATGGCATGTGTCCTGGTTTTGTGGTGCCATTGGGCAGGGAGTGTGGAGAATATTAGGAGCTTGAGGGTAGTGAAGTTTGGATGGCATTATGAGGTCTTAGGAGAGGGTGGAAGTGGGACTGGAAGACTAGTCTGTGGATTGGGTATTAATATGAATTTTTGTATTTGTAGCAGGCGGAGTGTGAGGGACCGATTGGGAGCGGCAATAGTGGGCACTGTTAGAAGCAGCTGGAGAAATCTTAAGGAGTTCTAGATAGGTTTAGTTTGGGGGAGCTTTGAGAACATGCGGGGTTGGGGAGAAGCAAGCATCGTTCACTCATGGAGCCTGTTCTCTGATAACAGTTCACAGTTTAACACTAGGGGAAATAATCCAAAAGAACTGTTTGTGAAATAAATTCAGCTGCATTTGTTAGTGTTTGTCAAGTTTCTGAATTGGTGCTGAGGGGTATATAGTGGCTTAAGTGTACATACAGCTCAGCGCTGCATGCGCACTGGGTATGCTATTTACAGTTTTCTGGGAGTGCTACCCCGCCCCTTGAATTCTTAGAAGGCAGCCTATGTACAGAATACATGGACTTTTGTAGTTTTGGATCAAAATGTCCAGATTTGGAGACATAAATACATAAGAATAAAAATAAGCATTTTTGTTGATATGTTGTCTGTATATAGTACACAGATTGCATTGCTATTAAAATAGCATGGTTAAGCCAGGCGCTGTGGTGTACACCTTTAATCCCAGCACTTGGGAGGCAGAGGCAGGTAGATCTTTGTGAGTTCAAGGCCAGCCTGGTCTACATAGTGAGTTCAGGTCAGCTGGGACTGCAGGGAGACCCTATCTCAAAAAGACAAAAAATAAAATAAAATAAAATAACATGGTTATATAACTACTACTCAGATTAAGAAATGCAGAATTATGGACATTCCAGACTCCTTCTTGTGTTTTCTTCCTTTTTTTCTTTCCAAAGGAGCCATTTTTCTGATTTCTAACATAAGAGCTGTTTTTGCCTGGCCTTGAAGTTCATCTTAGTGGAATCATGCAAAATGTACTTTGGTGTTTGATTTCTTTCACTTAGTATTATTGTTTGTAGAGTATGTGTGTGTATAAGCCTTTTTCCTTAAACATTTATGTTATTTTTTTCCTATGGCTTCTGCAGATTTTCTAAAAATTTACATGAGTCAAGGGGACAGTTTTAAAAATAGTTTATTTAAATATTTTATTTATTTTTACTTTATGTATATGAATGTGTTGACTGCATATATGTGAATGCACCCTTGTGGTACAATGCCCAAAGAGGTCAGAAGAGGGCATCATAATTCCTTGGAACTGGAGTTACAGATGGTTGTTAGCTGCCATGTGGGTGCTGGGAACTGAACCCAACTCCTCTGCAAGAGCAGTCAGTGCTCTTAACCACTGAGTCATCTCTCCAGCCCCTTATTTATTTTTGTCTTATGTGTATGAGTGTATTGCCTACATGTATGTAAGTGCATCCATGTCATGCAATGCCCTTAGAGGTCAGAAGAGGGCATTGGAGGAGTGAGGATGGTTGTTAGCTGCCATGTGGGTACTGGGAACCAAACCCAGGTCCTCTGTAAGCAGCTACTGCCCTTAACCTCTGAGCCATCTCTCCAGCCCTAGGGACCAGTTTTTAAAAACCTTTCATATCAAGCCAGGTCTGGGGGTGTATGCCTTTAATGTGAGCAACGTGGAGGCAAAGGCAGGAGGATCTCTTTGAGATCAAGGCCAGCCTGGCCTATATAGTGAGTTGCAAGTCAGCGGGGGTGACAGGGAGACCCTTTCTCAAAAAAAAAAAAATTATGTTAGTATATTTTTTGTTATTGTGTTCATGTGTACATAGGTGCACATGTGTGTGCATGAGTGTGTGGAGGGCAGAGAAAAATCTCAGATGCCGTTCCTGAGGTGCTACCCCCCCAGCCCCTTTTGAGACAGGGTCTTTCTATGTAGTCCATCCTGGTCTAGAACTTTAGATCCTCCTGCCTCAGTTTCCTGAGTGCTAGAATTGCACCTGTATGCTATCACAGCTGTTTATTTTTTTTTAGCTAACACCCTATTGAAGACTTTTGGAATATTTCCAGCATTTCTCTATTATTCCATTGCAATGGATATCTGTACTCAAGTATCTTTGGATACATGTGTTGATACTCAGCAGGACAAATTCAGAACAGTGAAATCATTGTAAGGGTGTGTGTGTGTGTGTGTGTGTGTGTGTGTGTGTTTAAATTTTTAAAGCTATTAGCTAAATATTTGCCCATAAGAATGTTCCTATTTACACTTGTACCATCAGATTATGAGAGAGCCTATTTCTCTGCACTTTTGCTGACTTTGGGCATTATAACTTTTCTCAGTGTTTTCTAACCTGCTTTTATAAATGTAGATCACATATATACATACACATACTTGCATATGCACATGTGTATATTGTTTTTTTTGTTGTTGTTGTTATTGTTGATGTTGTTGTTTTGGTATTTTTTTTGAGACTGGGTTTCCCTGTAGCCCCAGATGGTCTGGAACTCACATCGTGGACCAGGCTGGCCTTGAACTCGCAGAGATCCACCTGCCTTTGCTGGGATTAAAGGTTTGCACCACCACGTTGTACATGTATATATTTGTAATTGAACTTTGATTTCTTGTATTTTGGCTTCATGTATTGCATATTGGGCAGTATAGAGAGTACATGGTGTCAGTTACCCTTTCCAGCCTTCTGATTTTTAATATCCTTGTATAAGTTTATTTGCTGCTTTAATCCCTTTTGTAAAGTGTTATTTGTGTCCTTAATGTTCAATTTTTCTGATTACTTTGTTTATATTCTTCATAGATTTGAAGAACCTTTTTTTTTTTGAGAAATAGGTTAGGGCTGTTACACTTTATTATTATTATTTTGTCTTTTTTTGTGTGTATATGTGTTCGTGTGTGAGTGTGGACACATGGACATGAGGAGGTCAGAGGACAGCCTTGGGATTTGATCCTTGCCTTCTGCCTTGTTTGAGAAGGGGTCTCTGGTGTTTTTCTGCTGCATATTCCAGGCTAGCTGACCCACAGGATTCTCCTGCCTCCACCCCCCACCTCTGCGTAGTTCTTGGATTACAGACGCACGGTTCCCATGTCTTGCCGAGTGTGGGTCCTGGGTATCTGAACTCACACTTCCTTGGTAGTCACTGTGCCCATTGAACCTTCTTCCCTTTTTTTTTTTTTTTTTTTTTTTTTTTTTTTTTTTTTTCCAGTACTGAGATTGAACTCAAGATTTTGCACATGTTAGGCTAGTTCTCTGCTTCTGATTTACAACCTCAACCATTTCTTTATTTTTTTTATTTTGAGACACGATCTCACTAAGTTGTTTAGGCTAGTATTGAACTTGATCTGTATGTAGCCCAGGTAGGCTTTGAATTTTTGATCTTCGTGCCTGAGCTTCCCGAGTGGATGGAATTACAAATTTGTACCACAAAGCTGGGTCTCATTTCCTTTATTACCTTGGATTAAAAAGGGGGTAGGGTGCTGGAGAGACCACTCAGTGATTAAGAGTACTGACTGATCTTATAGAGGACCTGGGATAGGTTCCCAGCACCTTTCAAATGGCAGCTAACACCCAATCCTAACTCTAGTTCTAGGGGACCTGGCACCCTCTTCTGGCTTCAGTGTACCTATATACATGCAGGCAAAGCACTCATACACATAAATTAGTTTCTTTAAAAAAAGACTAATTTTCAGAACAGTTTTAGATCCGCAGTAAAATTGGGAAGATGTGCAGAAAGTTTCCATATACCCTACATGCAGGAATTATTTGTGGTGTATCTTCAAGG